TGCCGTAGAAGGGACAAGACCGTATCTCAGAGAGCTGTGCCGCGAGCATTGCATCCTGGCTCTCGCGGCACTGCTTCAGGATCTCCAAGACGACATTGTAAGACGTATTCGGGGCGTGCGATATCTGAAGCGGTGAAACGGCCACCACAGTCGTGTTGACGAAAGTCCGTTGAGGTGTGTCATCCTGTGCATTCGCAGCCACATTGCGCACGCGTCGTATGATGCGACAATTGCTCAGTGGAGGGAAGGAGATAGCTTTCTCGTCGTGAACTTTTTTGAATTCTTGCATGCTATCAATGCCAGTCAAGGCGAAGGCTGCCGCTTGGGATACGCCAACTTTGCACGAGCCACTGAAATCACGAGCAGTAGTCGTAAAGAAGACGCGCTCGCCTGTGTTCTCCACCACAGAGTCGGCTGGCTCCGGTTCCTCAAGCCTCATCCCATTGACCTGCAACAAGAGTGGCAAGTTTGCATTCGGATCATCCGACGCCATAGCCAGAAAGGCACAGCAGGAGAGGAGTGCTTCTCCGGTGAGAATCTGCGAAGCCTGGTCTGGATCCCATGTACCCGCATGAGCGGTGGTCAGCTGCTCCCGGTCCATCGCGAAGTCTTGAGTGGCTGCTAAGTCGTGTAGTTGAGTCATTCTGGGACAAGAGCATGCGGAATCCACCACGCGATCTTGCGACAAGTTCAGCTCCAGTTTGCCGTCGAATTTGCCCGCCACGTTGAGAAACAGCAGCGGTTGTCCTTTGTGAGAGCGACAAAGCTCTATGTTGGTGGATCCCCAGACTGCAATCACAGCCTCCGCTGTCTTGGAGTTACTCGTCTGTGTGCCGTCGACCAGATGTACACTTGCCACTGGAGGGTGGCCAGCGGGAGTGCGGGTTTCTGAAACAGAATGAACCACAGCCATGACATCGAAGCAACGCTGCGATTTGATGTTCATCATGTCTGCCACTGTAGTCGCTGGAGCCGGCGCCGATGCCAAGGAGGTCTCCTCCGGAGAGCTTTTGAGCACTGGAGTGCAGGTTGTGCGCTTGAGGTCGACCACGACACGAACAGACGTATGCACAAAAGCGTCCTGCTGCCGACTGTCCAGGCCGACGCTGGAGAGTTTCCACGCCGTCATCGGAGGGAACTTTTTCAGAGCAGCTTGGACTTCTGCTGGAGTTCCTTTGAGGATGGCCTCACAATAGTGCTCTGAGTCTGTGCCAAGCAGAATGCATGTGAATCGGTTTGCATGGACTAGCTGGCCATTGTTCCTGCTCTTGTACGAGTACTTGATCTCCCTGGGCTTGTATACTCGGACAAGGAAGTCTTGGGTTTTGGCGCTGCTCTTCGTGAGAAAACCCAGTGGAGACGTCGGCTGTTCTGCAGCAGCAGCCATGGTAGCTCACCCGGAGGATCACCGTGGAGCGCACAGTGACACAGGCTGAGAAGCACCGTGCACGGCACGGTGAGACTGGGTGAGCGGATGCGGACAAGGCTCGCTTTTGCCTCGAACTCCTGCAATCCAAGTTCTTTGAACCAGAACGGCAATGATTACAGAATTTCAAAGTTACAAGTGATGCCTCCACGAAGCACCCCCCCTGTGGAGTCGAGAAAGCGTGTTGCTGTATGTGTGCGTGACTCGATGGATGTGATGTGTGTGCTGTGTGGCCCCGCCCCAAAAAATGTTTCGGCCTCTCAAGGCCCCCCCCGCTCCACGAATCCCATTGGGGGGTCGAGATCCCCGCTCTGGTGGGCGGAGACGCCAAAGGCTTCGAAAACCGCGAGGGAGGGAAGGATAAGGGAGAAGAAAAGGACGGAGAGGGAGGGCTCGGAGGCCCTTGGAGGGGGGGATGTGCCCATCCGAGGGAACGGTGCACCCCCCCCTCCCCGTCGTGAAAACGAGGCACCAGCCGTGGCAACGACCCCCCCCCTATCCCCCTCCGCGACCTGAGTAGACCACCCAGGCCAGCGGAGGACGTCATAGGGGGCGGGGGTTCTGACTTCGATGAAAGAAGAGAAGGAAAGCGGGGGGCAAGGATCAGGCAGACGAAAGCCCTTTTAGGCTTTACCCGGCGTGTGGAAATGCCTTTTTTGGCTTTTGCGGGGACTAACCCGCGCGGTCGCCCGCAGGCGACAGGGCGCCCAGGCCCTCTCCGCGCGCGCAGGCGCGTGGCAAACTACATGCGCACGATCGCCCGTGGAATCGAATGGAACCGTCCGCGGCGAGTCGTCCGCGGCGACTCAGGACCACGCCGCCCTGGAAGAAGAGGCGCTACAAGGATGCATTCTGCGACGCTGGAGATCCTGATGCGACGAGGACGCTGCAGAGAAACATTCTGCGCGCGTACGCACGACCTGGAACGACAAGCACAATACGGGAACAAATTCGGTGACGCTGGAGTCCCCGATGAGACGAAGAAGCAGCAGAGACACGTCTCAAGGCGCAGCAACACCGAAGTGACGCAAACGCACCCCGCGACACGACAAGGACGCTGCAAGAAGAAACTCGGCGACGCAGGAGTGCGTGGAAGCTACAAAGGCATGGAAAGGAGGCTACGAGGAAACTACAGAGCATTCAAAGCGTCTCGAGCTTAGGGAGCCTTCCGCAGAGCCCTTGTGCGCACGACTTTGGCCGAAGGCCATCATATATGCAAGTACAACAGTTCATGCAGGAATCTCTTGTGCATGTGCTGGTGCCACTGCTGCGAGCAGGCAGTGGAACGAGCGAGGAGGGGGTATCAACCTTGACCGCCGGCCCCCGCCCCCTTCCCTTGACCGCGCTCCGCGGCCGGGCGCAAGCGCGGCCGGTCGGGGCAGCCGGCCGGGGCAGCCGGCCGGGGCAGCCGGCCGCCCTCCCCTCCTGCTCGTCCTCCTCCTCCTCCTCCTGCTCGTCCTCGTGCTCCTCCTGCTCGTCTTCTTTCTCCTGCTCCTCCTCCTCCTCCTCCTCCTCCTTCTCCTGCTCCTCCTCCTCCTCCTCCTCCTCCTCCTCCTCTCCTCTTCCTCGCTCGTCCTCGTTCTCGTCCTCCTCGTCTTGCTCGTCCTCCTCCTCCTGGTGCTCTCTCCTCCTCCTCCTCCTCCTCCTCCTCCTCCTCCTCCTCCTCCTGGTGGTCCTCGTTCTCCTCCTCCTGGTGCTCTCCCCCCCCCTCCTCCTCCTCGTCCTCCTCCTCCTCCTCCTCGTCCTCCTCCTCCTCTTCCTCCTCCTCCTCCTCCTCCTCCTCCTCCTCCTCCTCCTCCTCCTCCTCCTCCTGGTAGTCCTCCCCCTCCCCTCCTCCTCCTCCTCCTCCTCTTCCTGGTCGCCCTCGTTCTCGTCCTCCTCGTCTTGCTCGTCCTCCTCCTCCTGGTGTTCTCTCCTCTCCTCCTCCTCCTCCTCCTCCTCCTCCTCCTCCTCCTCTTCCTCTGCTCCTCCTCCTCCTCCTCCTCCTTCTCCTCCTCTTTCTCCCTGCTCCTCCTCCTCCTCCTCCTCCTCTCCTCTCCTCCGTGCTCGTCTCGTTTCTCGTCCTTGCTTCGTCGCCCTCCTCCTCCTCCTCCTCCTCCCTCCTCCTCCTCCTCCTGTGGTCCTCGTTCTCCTCCATCCTGGTGCTCTCCCCCCCCCCCCTTCCTCCTCCTGGTGCTCTCCCCCCCCCTCCTCCTCCTCGTCCTCCTCCTCCTCCTCCTCGTCCTCCTCCTCCTCTTCCTCCTCCTCCTCCTCCTCCTCCTCCTCCTCCTCCTCCTGGTAGTCCTCCCCCTCCCCTCCTCCTCCTCCTCCTCCTCTTCCTGGTTCTTCCTGGTCGCCCTCGTTCTCGTCCTCCTCGTCTTGCTCGTCCTCCTCCTCGTGGTGTTCTCTCCTCCTCCTCCTCCTCCTCCTCCTCCTCCTCCTCCTCCTCCTCCTCCTCCTGGTGGTCCTCGTTCTCCTCCTCCTGGTGCTCTCCCCCCCCCTCCTCCTCCTCGTCCTCCTCCTCCTCCTCCTCCTCGTCCTCCTCCTCCTCTTCCTCCTCCTGCTCCTCCTCCTCCTCCTCCTCTTCATCCTCCTCCTCCTCCTCCTCCTCCTCCTCCTCCTCCTCCTCCTCCTCCTCTCCTCCTCCTCCTCCTGCAGTGAGTGAATGCAGTGGCACGATTGAATGCAGTGGACTGCAGTGTCACTAGCAATTCCTGAAGCGTCTGGCTATTCAAAATGTGGCCCGGGAATGGAGTTCTGGGAACTCGAAGACCAGGAAGTGGCCTACAGTTGGCTCCGGGCATCCAGAATGTGGCCCGGGAATGGAGTTCTGGGAACTCGAAGAGCACGAAGTGTGTGACTGTTGCATCCGGGCATCCAAAATGTAGCCCGGGAATGGCGTTCTGGGATGTCGAAGAGCACGAAGTGTGTGACTGTTGCATCCGGTTATTCTAAATGTGGCCCGGGAATGGCGTTCTGGGATCTCGAAGAGCACGAAGTGTGTTGCATCCGGGTATTCAGAATGTGGCCTGGGAATGGAGTTCTGGGAAGTCGAAGAGCACGAAGTGTGTGACTGTTGGTGAAAAACGAGCCCGGCACCCTGCCGCCCGGCAACTCCCCAACACCTGCCCGGACCCCCCTGTGGAGTGATCTGTGAGCTCTTTTGAGTCAACTAGAAACCTATCAGTCTTCGCTGTTAGGTAAAAACCATACATTTTTAGCATACGCTGCTTTTCGGCTTTCACGGCGTGGGACACGGTCCACGAGGACCCTAAGACCGCCTCCAGACGGCCCAAGAGGCTCCCCAGAGGCCCCCCAAGATGGCCCCAAGAGGGGGACCACGAACCGAAAAGTCTAGGCTGTCGTCCCAAGAAGCTCCCAGGAGGCCCCAAGAGCCCCCCAAGAAGCCCCAAGAGGCCCCCAAGAGGTCCCCAAGAGGCTTCCAAAAGGGCTCCAAAAGGACCACGAATCGAAAAGTCTAGCGTTCGCCCCGAGACGCTCCAGGAGACCCCCAGAGCCCCCCAAGAAGCCCCAGGAGGCGCCCAAGAGGCCACCAAAAGGGCTCCAAAAGGGTCGTACCTCTCCCCGACTAGAGGCCGAACGAGGACGGCACCAAGTGGAAAGGCACCTGCTGGTACGTCCACAATCTGCTGAAGTACGAGGCGCTCTGCGGGGATGCGTGTTCGGCAGAAGTGCCGCGCAGGATGACTGGAGGACACCGTCGGGGACTCTTGGTCAGCGCGTCGTTCCGCCAGCCGACGGAACGGAGCTGCACGCTCTCCAAGCGCAGCGAGTAAGTTGTTTCACGCGGCCCGCCGCCGCGACACGCTCTGCGCAAGAGCTCTCGACCGTGAAGAGGATAAGGGAGAACGGAGGAGGAGGAGGAGGAGGAGGAGGAGGGCGAAGAAAAAATTATCCCGGCAAAGCAACCTAACAGCGATGTGTAGGAGCATATCTGGAAGCATTCCCCTTAAGATTCAAATGAGAATCCAGTTGTAGAGTTCTGCTGTTCTCGCAGTCGTAGTCGCATTCGCGATGACAGTCGCAGTGGCAACGGCAGTCGCAGTCACAGCCTCAGCCTCAGCCTGCCTCAGCCTCAGCCTCCGCCTGCCTCAGCCTCAGCCTGCCTCAGCCTCAGCCTCAGCCTGCTTCATCCTCAGCATCAGTCTGCCTTCAGCTTCGGCCTCAGCCTCAGACTGCCTCAACCTCAGCCTGCATCAGCCTCAGCCTCAGCCTCAGCCTGCCTCAGCATCAGCCTGCCTCAGCTTCAGCCTCAGCCTCAGCCTGCCTCTGCCTCAGCCTCAGCCTGCTTCAGCCTCAGCCTCAGTCTGCCGTCAGCCTCGGCCTCAGCCTCAGCCTGCCTCAGCCTCAGCCTGCATCAGCCTCAGCCTCAGCACGAAGCAACCCAGCTAGAAGGACAAAGCGCTGAATGTACACCGATGTGTTCGACGACTGCGTATGTAATGATGTGACGATATACAGACTGAGCCCTTCGTGAATGTCTACATGTTTTTCTGACGCCTACAAACGGCGCTGACGTGTGTGTGAAAAGTGTCCGCGCAGCAAAAGCCGGCGAAGCGTGCAGACAGCCAGCTGCAAAAGGTTGCGAGCGGCTCTTGGAAGACGTTTACGGAACGGAGCTACGGTGTCTGAAAACATTGGCATCGAAGCGAAGAGCCTCGGAGCCCTGCAGCCTGAGAAACACCGCAGGAACTCGCATACTGAAAAGGAATGCATTGCAAACCGCACGTTGCGAACCCTGCAGGCTGAGAAGCACCGCAGGATGTCGCATGCTGAAAAGCACTTGTACTGCAGAGCGCAGGCTGCGAAACCTGCAGGCTGAGAAGCACCGCAGGAACTCGCATGCTTTCGAACACTACTGCTCGAGACCGCAGCTGGAGAGCGGCAGACCGCAGGCTGAGAAGCACCGCGGGCAGAGAGACTTGCAAAACTCAGATGTCCTGATCGTCTTGGAGGAAGTCACGCCAGTCCGGCGGCTGCCAAGAATCGATGATGCGCCTGGAGCCACCGCCCGTGCTGCCGCCGATGTCCAGGTAGTCGCCATCGCCCCTGAACAGACGGCCGTGCCCGCACGCCAGAATCGCTTGGTTGCGGATTTGAAGCAGCGCTCCGCTCTCAAACATCTGCAACACGTCCTGCTGCCTGCGCGTGAAGTTCGGCTTTGCCTGGCCAGCCTGGGCAGACAGATATAGGGAAAGCCGCTCCCCCTCGTTGTAGCGCGCGATGGCCTCGGCCTTCTGGTGGTGCAGCCGGCGCCGCTGTTGCCGCAGAGCTTCCTCGGGAACTGCTGCATCACGGCCCTCACTGTGATCAGCTTGCAACGCTTGCGTTAACCAATCAACGTCGAAGCGCCCTGAGAAGGCCAGCACCTCCCAGATCTGTTTAGTACCGGCCACACGTTGCAAATGGCGATGCCACCGCTTACGCTTCTGGTCTTTCACAAACTTGGCGACGCTACCCAGACCTGCACCCTTGGCCTGGCCACCTTTTCCCGCAGGCTGAGAAGCACCGTGAGAACCTTTCTTACCGCCTGGCCCTTTGTTCGGACCCTGCGGAACCGCATGGCCCCCTTGTGGCGCAGACTTGCCTTTCGCTTTTCCCTTTTCGATATCCCGTTCCTGAAGCGCACGCTGCTGCCGCGACTGCTCGTACTGGTCGCGAGCTACTCTGACCAATTCCTGGCGCTCAGGCTCCGTGAGAACGTAGCGCATGTCGTCGATGTTCTTGCTCCGCAGAAAGTCATGTCGAAGCTTAAGGACAGAGAGAATGGCTCGGCCAGTCTCCTCCTGAGACGCAAAGGCCGTGTCATATTCCGAGCCAGGCTGAGGAGCGCCAGCTGGATCAGTGTCCGCTGGCTCCGTGGACTTCCTCTTTTTGAAAAGCAAGAGACTGAGATGATGGAGGACTTTCGGATCGTACTCCTCGTCGTACCTGTCGTCCCAAAGCTTCCTCAGCTCCCTGTGCAAGTCGTCCGCGCGATTCTGAACGACATCCTCGACGTAGTCGGGATCACCCGGTGAAGTCGGTGAAAGCGGAGGAGCAGAACTCGGCGACCGATCCCAATGCACAGAAGACTCGCGGTCCGCCTGTACGCTGACGTCGGCGTCGGAGACGTTTTCGACGACAATTTTCCGCCTCTTGCTCTCCCCAGGCTGAATAGCACCAGGGAGAGTGAGCACAACCGCCACCGCATCGTGTGCGTCGTTGCGCATGCCACGATCCGTAAAAGACGCGCCAACGGCAATGGAGCAGAAACGGGCGACTGCTCCGCAGACCGCGACGTGGTCGCCTTTGAGGTCGGCCGGAGTGGCATGGACCTCCCATACCTTCTCGTCGTTCTGCTCGCGCTGGTAAGCCTCCCGCGCCTCCTGGAAAGTGAGGTTGTCGTCGCCGACTACAAGCACAACGACTGCCTCGTTTAGATTCTCAAGAATCTTGGCCAGGCCGTCCAGGTGCAAGCGGAGATGGCGAACTGTCCGCTTTCGAGTCTGGATGCTCGGCGGTTTCTTGCCGCACACGATGTGCATGTTGGCGATCACCACGTGGAACTTGTCATGGCCTGGTTTGTTCACCTCAAAATGTGAAATAACAGCATCAATATCTCGGCCGCTAGGAGGCCTGTAAACTTTGCTGTCTTCGCACAGAGTCAGTTCCGCAGGCTGAGAAGCACCGCGGAACCCCCAGAGAGTCAAGTAGTTGTCGACCTCCAAGAAGCGAATGCCATCACCGAAAGGCTTACTGAGGATGTCTGTCACGTTGATCCCTGCTCGGCGAAAGCCTTCACGGAACGCACCGACCTCGCAGCCACAGACCATATCAGCATCAGCGGTCTCCACTATCTTGGCGCACAACCTTCCGAAGTTAGCGCAGTGAGTGGCCGCCTGCTTACCAGTCATCATGCCCTGCTCGAACCCGAAATTGAACGAGGCGACCGTGAAAGACGCAGGCTGCACAGCGCCAGAACCAGGCGTCTGTCCACCTTCCTCCGCAGGCTGAGAAGCACCGCGAGGCGGCGCAGGCTGAGAAGCACCGCGAGGCGGCGACACTTCGGACGAGCCTCGCGGAGCAGAGGCTGCGGATGAACGTTGGACATGGGGGTACGGCCAGGGGAACGCCATTGCAATCAAAACTCAGTGGACTGCAGTGAATGAATGTAGTGGCCAATTGAATGCAGAGGACTGCAGTGTCACTAGCAAGTCCTGAACCAAACACAGCTGTGGCGGAAGGAATATGAAGCGTCTGGCTATTCAAAATGTTGCCCGGCAATGTCCTCCTCCTCCTCCTCCTCCTCCTCCTCGTCCTCCTCCTCCTCTTCCTCCTCCTCCTCCTCCTCCTCCTCCTCCTCCTCCTCCTCCTCCTGGTAGTCCTCCCCCTCCCCTCCTCCTCCTGGTAGCCCAGGAATGGGAGTTTTGGGAACTCGAAGAGCACGAAGTGGCCTACAGTTGGCTCCGGGCATTCAAAATGTGGCCCGGGAATGGAGTTCTGGGAACTCGAAGAGCACGAAGTGGCCTACAGTTGGCTCCGGGCATTCAAAATGTGGCCCGGGAATGGAGTTCTGGGAACTCGAAGAGCACGAAGTGGCCTACAGTTGGCTCCGGGCATCCAAAATGTGGCCCGGGAATGGCGTTCTGGGAACTCGAAGAGCACGAAGTGTGTGACTGTTGCATCCGGCCCCCCAGAATGTGGCCCGGGAATGGCGTTCTGGGATGTCGAAGAGCACTTTGTGTGTGACTGTTGCATCCGGCCCCCCAGAATGTGGCCTGGGAATGGAGTTCTGGGAAGGCGAAGAGCACGAAGTGTGTGACTGTTGGTGAAAAACGAGCCCGGCTCATGCCGCCCGGAAACGCCCCAACACCTGCCCGGACCCCCCTGTGGAGTGATCTGTGAGCTCTTTTGAGTCAACTAGAAACCTATCAGTCTTCGCTGTTAGGTAATATTCGGGGGTGGACAGACCTCCTACCCTGACACGTCGATTAAGGACTTGGCCGTTTTCGGTTCGCGAGAGGGCGTCGTGGCCGTCATTTTTGCAGGTCCAGGTCCGTCGGTTTCGGTCCCAGGCTTTTTTCACTAAGGGGAGGTCTACTAAAGGGAGGTTTGTCCACCGCCGAAATATTGAAATGCATGCACGCGTGCACGCGTGCACGCATGATGGTGCCCACGAGGCCATTAAAACGTCGAATCAAGACGGTGGCCTGACAAAAAGTCCACGCCTATGGCGCGAAGACCATATCACGTGATGTTGAACAACATCTTGCGCAACGTATGCCCCACCGCCTTCCCCCAAGCCCAAATCTGAAGTGTCCACGTCTTGTCCTCCGCGCGTTGCCTCGCGCGCACGGCTGCCAAGTTTGGGTTTGGGGGGAGGGGGCGACCGATGTTTTGGATGCACTTCGCCGTAGCGTCCGTTGTCCCTAGGACCACCGCGAGGGTGCGAAGTTCGTCGCGCTCGGCGGTCTGTCTGGGCGATTCCAGAGCGAGGCGTGAGTCCCTCATATTCTTCCGGGGGGGATGAGGGGTGGCGCGGAAACGCGAAGGGAATCGCGCTTCGCGGAGCGCGCAGAACGATGGGAGTGGACATTTTTTGTCCACCTGCCGTCCCAGCCCTCTCCGCCGGCAGTTCGCGCTCCAGTTCGAGATCCCCGCGGGCTACCCCTCGGTGCCCATAGAGGCGCGCGGGCCCCCCCCCCTCTGCTCCCCGCCTCCTCCACCGCGGCCTCCTTTTCCCTCCCTCCTCGCCCTCCGTTCGTCGTCGTCGTTGTGCTCCTCCTCCTCCTCCTCCTCCTCCTCCTCCTCCTCCTCCTCCTCCTCCTCCTCCTCCTCCTCCTCCTCCTCCTCCTCCTCCTCCTCACTTCTACGGGCTCCTCCGGCATCGTTCGGCCCGGCGAGAGACCCCTGCAGCCTCCAGACTGGCGCCGGCCCGCTCTGCGGCCCAGCGCGTGAAGTTGTCCCGACCAACGGCTGAGGGGCCACGCCGGTAGGCTTCGCTCGCAGTCGCCCCATCTCGACCCGCGCTCCTCCGCATACTCCTCATCAAAGGTGCCTGCGGCAAAGCCATGTGGTGGCTTTCAACCCATTCCGCCACCGTGCCTGGGCTGTGCGCCAGGGTCCTCTGGGATGCCTCTTGGGCGTCTCTGGGCGGTCTCGGACTCCATACGGTGGGGGCGTTGGCTAAGGAATACGCCCAGGAGGCTCCAGACCCTGGAGGAGTCCTTATCTGATGATGGCGGCGGTGATACCCATGGCCAAGCCTCAATTGGTGTTCCACCATCTTTCAGACCCTGAATTCCTTATCCAAGGGCTCCTTACCCAATGCCCTCACCATAGCCGGTTCGTTGTCCGCCCTCTGGGGCGGAAAACTGAAACGCAAACTCTCGATCCGTGACCCCGGGAGAGTCACGAAGAGAGCCCCGGGGTCGCCTAGAAGCGCCGGAGAGCGCCCCGTCTTCGGGGAGCTGGGCCGTTTGAGGAGAGCATCTGCAATATTCAGCACAGGGAGCTCAGGGGGACTTGATGACACCCCAGTCGGTGCCTGCGGCGCGGTGGCGGAGATCCCCCCCAACCTCCTCGCCTGCCCTCCTCCCTCCCCTCAGGTGCCCCTGGAAGTGTTTACGTCGAGCGAGCACATTGAGTTATCAGCTTGTCTATGTGACTTCATAGTTGTTGTTGTTGTTTACGTAGTGTTTCTCCACCGAAGGCTTCAGTGGCACAGGCCGCATGCGTCGACGCCACCCAGGACAGCGCTTCGTGGCCCCATAGGGGGGCTCCACCGAAGGCTCCAGTGGCACAGGCCGCATGCGTTGACGCCACCCAGGGCAGCGCTTCGTGGCCCCATAGGGAGCTCCACCGAAGGGCTCCAGTGGCAGGGTCCGCATGCGCCAACGCCACCCAGGACAGCGTTACGTGGCCCCATAGGGAGCTCCACCGAAGGCTCCACTGGCACAGGCCGCATGCGTCAACGCCACCCAGGACAGCGCTTCGTGGCCCCATAGAGAGCTCCGTATGCGTCAACGCCACCCGGGACAGCGCTTCGTGGCCCCATTGGGAGCTCCACCGAAGGCTCCAGTGGCACAGGCCGCATGCGTCAACGCCACCCAGGACAGCGCTTCGTGGCCCCATAGAGAGCTCCACCGAAGGCTCCAGAGTGGCACAGGCCGCATGCGTCAACGCCACCCATGTAGGCACACCCCTCACACGGTTCGTAGCCCCCTAGGGAACCCCACCGAAGGCTGCAGTGGCAGGGTCCGCATGCGTCAACGCCACCCAGGACAGCGCTTCGTGGCCCCATAGGGAGCTCCACCGAAGGCTGCAGTGGCACAGGCCGCATGCGTCGACGCCACCCAGGACAGCGCTTCGTGGCCCCATAGGGAGCTCCACCGTAGGCTCCAGTGGCACGGGCCGCATGCGTCAACGCCACCCAGGACAGCGCTTCGTGGCCCCATGGAGAGCTCCACCGAACGCTCCAGCGGCATAGGCTGCATGCGTCTCCCCCACCCAGGACAATGTTTTGTGGCCCCATAGGGAGCTCCACCGAAGGCTGCAGTGGCAGAGTCCGCATGCGTCTCCCCCACCCATGGCAACGCTTCGTGGCCCCATTGGGAGCTCCACCGAAGGCTCCAGTGGCGGTGTCCACATGCGTCCGCGCCACCGATTTCGGCGCACCCCTCGCACGTTTCGTGGCCCGATAGGGAGCTCCACCGAAAGCGGTACCCACAAAGCGGCACTCGCCAGGCTAATGTTCTGCTTCCGTTGTTGCCAAAGTTTGGGTTCGCGTCGAGCAAGGTCGCCAGGACGTCTTCATTTCACAGTCCGAGGAGTCGGCCAGGGAGGACGAGGCGCTCCCTACATCGCACAACGCGGATTCCTTTATAACCGTCCAGATCACACTTTGCATGTTATGCCCAAGCTCGCGGGCCAGGCGGGGTGGCCAGCTTGACTGATACAACCGCGGGGCTACCGGTTTTGGTTGCTTCGCTTCCAGCTCTCTTATGTCACGAAGGAAGACGCAAGGTCAAAAAAGAGATTGTGGGCAAGGGGCTTGAGACGTCGGCGGGGCAGCAACAACATGACATGGCCGCCCAGGGACGGCGAGGTCACGCTCTGGTCCGCGCGGTACCTCACTCCACTGGACCCACCAGCAGCCTTCGAAAGTGGCGAGCCCACCAGCAGCCCTCGAAAATGACGACCGTGTCGCAGGTCGCAGCCCCCCAGGGACGGCGAGGTCTACCTCAGGTCTGCGCGGTGCCTTACCCCGCTGGACCCACTAGCAGCCCTCGAAAGTGGCGACCGTGTCGCAGGTCGTAAGCCCTCCAGGGACGGCGAGGTCTACCTCAGGTCTGCGCGGTGCCTCACTCCGCTGGACCCACCAGCAGCCTTCGAAAGTGGCGACCATTTCGCAGATCGCAGCCCCCCAGGGACGGCGAGGTCTACGTCAGGTCTGCGCGGTGCTTCACTCCGCTGGACCCACCAGCGGCCCCCGAAAGAGGCGACAGTCTCGCAGGTCGCAGCCCCCCAGGGACGGCGAGGTCACGCTCAGGCCCGCGCGGTGTCTCACTCCGCTGGACCCACCAGCAGCCCTCGAAAGTGGCGAGCACACCAGCAGCCCTCGAAAGTGGCGACAGTTTCGCAGATCGCAGCCCCCCAGGGACGGCGAGGTCTACCTCAGGTCTGCGCGGTGCCTCACCCCGCTGAACCCACCTGCAGCCCTCGAAAGTGGCGCCGGTTTTGCAGATCGCAGCCCCCCAAGGACGGCGAGGTCTACCTCAGGTCCGCGCGGTGCCTCACTCCGCTGGACCCACCAGCAGCCCTCGAAAGTGGCGACAGTTTTGCAGATCGCAGCCCCATGCAGCCCCCCAGTGACGGCGAGGTCTACCTCAGGTTTGCGCGGTGCCTCACTCCGCTGGACCCACCAGCAGCCCTCGAAAGTGGCGACAGTTTCGCCGGTCGCAGCCCCCCAGGGACGGCGAGGTCAACCTCAGGTCTGCGCGGTGCCTCACCCCGCTGGACCCACCTGCAGCCCTCGAAAGTGGCGCCGGTTTTGCAGATCGCAGCCCCCCAAGGACGGCGAGGTCTACCTCAGGTCCGCGCGGTGCCTCACTCCGCTGGACCCACTAGCAGCCCTCGAAAGTGGCGACAGTTTTGCAGATCGCAGCCCCATGCAGCCCCCCAGTGACGGCGAGGTCTACCTCAGGTTTGCGCGGTGCCTCACTCCGCTGGACCCACCAGCAGCCCTCGAAAGTGGCGACAGTTTCGCCGGTCGCAGCCCCCCAGGGACGGCGAGGTCAACCTCAGGTCTGCGCGGTACCTCACTCCGTTGGACCCACCAGCAGCCCTCGAAAGTGGCGACAGTTTCGCAGGTCGCAGCCCCCCAAGGACGGCGAGGTCTACCTCAGGTCTGCGCGGTGCTTCACTCCGCTGGACCCACCAGCAGCCATCGTTTCGCAGGTCGCAGCCCCCCAAGGACGGCGAGGTCTCGCTCAGGTTTGCGCGGTGCCTCACCCCGTTGGACCCACCGGCGGCCCCCGAAAGTGGCGACCGTGTCGCAGGTCGCAGCCCCCCAGGGACGGCGAGGTCTACCTCAGGTCTGCGCGGTGCCTCACTCCGCTGGGCCCACCAGCAGCCTTCGAAAGTGGCGACAGTCTCGCCCCCCCAGGGACGGCGAGGTCTACCTCAGGTCTGCGCGGTGCCTCACTCCGCTGGACCCACCAGCAGCCCTCGAAAGTGACAACAGTTTCGCAGGTCGCAGCCCCCCCAGGGACGGCGAGGTCTACCTCAGGTTTGCGCGGTGCCTCACCCCGCTGGACCCACCAGCAGACCTCGAAAGTGGCGACAGTTTCGCAGGTCGCAGCCACCCAGGGACGGCGAGGTCTGCCTCAGGTCTGCGCGGTGCTTCACTCCGCTGGACCCACCAGCGGCCCCCGAAAGAGGCGACAGTCTCGCAGGTCGCAGCCCCCCAGGGACGGCGAGGTCACGCTCAGGCCCGCGCGGTGCCTTACCCCACTGGACCCACCAGCAGCCTTCGAAAGTGGCGAGCCCACCAGCAGCCCTCGAAAATGACGACCGTGTCGCAGGTCGCAGCCCCCCAGGGACGGCGAGGTCTACCTCAGGTCTGCGCGGTGCCTTACCCCGCTGGACCCACTAGCAGCCCTCGAAAGTGGCGACCGTGTCGCAGGTCGTAAGCCCTCCAGGGACGGCGAGGTCTACCTCAGGTCTGCGCGGTGCCTCACTCCGCTGGACCCACCAGCAGCCTTCGAAAGTGGCGACCATTTCGCAGATCGCAGCCCCCCAGGGACGGCGAGGTCTACGTCAGGTCTGCGCGGTGCTTCACTCCGCTGGACCCACCAGCGGCCCCCGAAAGAGGCGACAGTCTCGCAGGTCGCAGCCCCCCAGGGACGGCGAGGTCACGCTCAGGCCCGCGCGGTGTCTCACTCCGCTGGACCCACCAGCAGCCCTCGAAAGTGGCGAGCACACCAGCAGCCCTCGAAAGTGGCGACAGTTTCGCAGATCGCAGCCCCCCAGGGACGGCGAGGTCTACCTCAGGTCTGCGCGGTGCCTCACCCCGCTGGACCCACCTGCAGCCCTCGAAAGTGGCGCAGGTTTTGCAGATCGCAGCCCCCCAAGGACGGCGAGGTCTACCTCAGGTCCGCGCGGTGCCTCACTCCGCTGGACCCACCAGCAGCCCTCGAAAGTGGCGACAGTTTTGCAGATCGCAGCCCCATGCAGCCCCCCAGTGACGGCGAGGTCTACCTCAGGTTTGCGCGGTGCCTCACTCCGCTGGACCCACCAGCAGCCCTCGAAAGTGGCGACAGTTTTGCAGATCGCAGCCCCCCAGGGACGGCGAGGTCTACCTCAGGTCTGCGCGGTGCCTCACCCCGCTGAACCCACCTGCAGCCCTCGAAAGTGGCGCCGGTTTTGCAGATCGCAGCCCCCAGGGACGGCGAGGTCTACCTCAGGTCCGCGCGGTGCCTCACTCCGCTGGACCCACCAGCAGCCCTCGAAAGTGGCGACAGTTTTGCAGATCGCAGCCCCATGCAGCCCCCCAGTGACGGCGAGGTCTACCGCAGGTTTGCGCGGTGCCTCACTCCGCTGGACCCACCAGCAGCCCTCGAAAGTGGCGACAGTTTCGCCGGTCGCAGCCCCCCAGGGACGGCGAGGTCAACCTCAGGTCTGCGCGGTGCCTCACCCCGCTGGACCCACCAGCGGCCTTCGAAAGTGGCGACAGTTTCGCAGGTCGCAGCCCCCCAAGGACGGCGAGGTCTACCTCAGGTCTGCGCGGTGCTTCATTCCGCTGGACCCACCAGCAGCCCTCGTTTCGCAGGTCGCAGCCCCCCAGTGACGGCGAGGTCTACCTCAGGTTTGCGCGGTGCCTCACCCCGTTGGACCCACCGGCGGCCCCCGAAAGTGGCGACCGTTTCGCAGGTCGCAGCCCCCCAGGGACGGCGAGGTCTACTTCAGGTCTGCGCGGTGCCTCACTCCGCTGGGCCCACCAGCAGCCTTCGAAAGTGGCGACAGTCTCGCCCCCCCAGGGACGGCGAGGTCTACCTCAGGTCTGCGCGGTGCCTCACTCCGCTGGACCCACCAGCAGCCCTCGAAAGTGACAACAGTTTCGCAGGTCGCAGCCCCCCAGGGACGGCGAGGTCTACCTCAGGTTTGCGCGGTGCCTCACCCCGCTGGACCCACCAGCAGACCTCGAAAGTGGCGACCGTTTCGCAGGTCGCAGCCCCCCAGGGACGGCGAGGTCTGCCTCAGGTCTGCACGGTGCTTCACTCTGTTGGACCCACCGGCGGCCCTCGTTTCGCAGGTCGCAGCCCCCCAGGGACGGCGAGGTCTCGCTCAGGTTTCCGCGGTGCCTCACCCCGTTGAACCCACCGGCGGCCCCCGAAAGAGGCGACCGTTTCGCAGGTCGCAGCCCCCCAGGGACGGCGAGGTCTACCTCAGGTCTGCGCGGTGCCTCACTCCGCTGGGCCCACCAGCAGCCTTCGAAAGTGGCGACAGTCTCGCAGGTCGCAGCCCCCCAGGGACGGCGAGGTCTACCTCAGGTCTGCGCGGTGCCTCACTCCGCTGGACCCACCAGCAGCCCTCGAAAGTGACAACAGTTTCGCAGGTCGCAGCCCCCCAGGGACGGCGAGGTCTACCTCAGGTTTGCGCGGTGCCTCACCCCGCTGGACCCACCAGCAGACCTCGAAAGTGGCGACCGTTTCGCAGGTCGCAGCCCCCCAGGGACGGCGAGGTCTGCCTCAGGTCTGCACGGTGCTTCACTCTGTTGGACCCACCGGCGGCCCTCGAAAGTGACGACCGTTTCGCAGGTCGCAGCCCCCCAGGGACGGCGAGGTCTACATCAGGTCTGCGCGGTACCTCACTCCGTTGGACCCACCTGCAGCCCTCGAAAGTGGCGACCGTTTCGCAGATCGCAGCCCACCAAGGACGGCGAGGTCTCGCGCAGGTCTGCGCGGTGCCTCACTTCGCTGGGCCCACCAGCAGCCTTCGAAAGTGACAACAGTTTCGCAGGTCGCAGCCCCCCAGGGACGGCGAGGTCTACCTCGGGTCTGCGCGGTGCCTCACTCCGCTGGACCCACCAGCAGCCCTCGAAAGTGGCGACAGTTTCGCAGGTCGCAGCACCCCAGGGGCGGCGAGGTCTACATCGGGTCTGTGCGGTGCCTCACTCCGCTGGACCGACCAGCAGCCCTCGAAAGCGGCGGCAGTTTCGCAGGTCGCAGCCCCCCAGGGACGGCGAGGTCCACCTCGGGTCTGCGCGGTGCCTCACTCCGCTGGACCCACCAGCAGCCCTCGAAAGTGGCGGCAGTTTCGCAGGTCGCAGCCCCCCAGGGACGGCGAGGTCGACCTCAGGTCTGCGCGGTGCTTCACTCCGCTGGACCCACCAGCAGCGTTCGAAAGTGGCGACCGTTTCGCAGGTCGCAGCCCCCCAGGGACGGCGAGGTCTACCTCAGGTCTGCGGGGTGCCTCTGGACCCACCAGCAGCCCTCGAAAGTGGCGGCAGCTTCGCAGGTCGCAGCACCCCAGGGGCGGCGAGGTCTACATCGGGTCTGTGCGGTGCCTCACTCCGCTGGACCCACCAGCAGCCCTCGAAAGCGGCGGCAGTTTCTCGCCGCCCCCCCAGGGACGGCGAGGTCTACCTCGAGTCTGCGCGGTGCCTCACCCCGCTGGACCCACCAGCAGCCCTCGAAAGTGGCGACAGTTTCGCCGGTCGCAGCCCCCCAGGGGCGGCGAGGTCTACCTCGAGTCTGCGCGATGCCTCACTCCCCTGGACCCACCAGCAGTCTTCGAAAGTGGCGACGGTTTCGCAGGTCGCAGCCGCCCAGGGACGGCGAGGTCTACCTCGGGTCTGCGCGGTGCCTCACTCCGCTGGACTCACCAGCAGCCCTCGAAAGTGGCGACAGTTTCGCAGGTCTCAGCACCCCAGGGGCGGCGAGGTCTACATCGGGTCTGTGCGGTGCCTCACTTCGCTGGGCCCACCAGCAGCCTTCGAAAGTGACAACAGTTTCGCAGGTCGCAGCCCCCCAGGGACGGCGAGGTCTACCTCGGGTCTGCGCGGTGCCTCACTCCGCTGGACCCACCAGCAGACCTCGAAAGTGGCGACCGTTTCGCAGGTCGCAGCAACCCAGGGACGGCGAGGTCTACCTCGAGTCTGCGCGGTGCCTCACCCCGCTGGACCCACCAGCAGCCCTCGAAAGTGGCCGCAGTTTCGCAGGTCGCAGCCCCCCAGGGACGGCGAAGAGAGGGCAGGAGGAGGGAGGAGGCGGGAGAAAGGACGCGCGAGCAGTGCCCTGTTCAAGAAGAGTACCCAAGCAAGGAAGGTGGGGAAAGACCTTGCGCTGTGCGTGCGCGTCGGCCCCCCAGTGGGGCGCCGCGGCGCGCTCCGAAGTCCTATAGTATAATGGCTCGGTGGCCGCGCAGACCATTTCGGCACCGACCGTTCGGGGTGACGCCGCGCACACGGTATCCGTACGTTCGGGGTGACGCCGCTCCACCCCAGGCGTCTCTCCAGGACGGCTCTCCTGGAGTCCCTGCGATGCTAGGCGGGCGCCGGTGGTGGGACATGCCGCGTGCGGCAGCCCAGTGCGCGCGGGGGCAGCCGCGGGCCGGGGGCACGTGCCAAGAAGCCCCCCTGCTTGCCTCCAGGGTGCCCCCTGGGTTTCTTGGGCTTCGACGGTGTTGCCGAGGAGAGCGGGGCGTTCCCACACCAGAAACCGATGAGCGTCCTGGGGTCGCAGGGTCGGGTTTCGTGTGGAAGGCTTCTTGCGGTCAGGCCCCTGCTGCAATATGTTCGTGATATGTGTTCGGTTTTCGGACATGCGCCTCCAGGGGGGGGCACAGTACTAGTATGCCTTTCTGCTGCGTCCAATGGAATGGCAGCGCTTACCAAACAACTTGCCCAGCCCCCCAGGAGACGCTATTGCAAGAGCCGCCGGTGCGAATTATGTTCTCTGTCGCTCAGTGCGCAGTGCTAGTTTCCTATCTTGCGGCAGGCGGTTGCGGCTGGAGTTTCATTGTTGTTGTCCGCTCCCATCTTCTCATTCTTGAACAAAAAACTGGAGGAGGGGGATCGAGGAGGAGGAAGGGGAGGAGGGGGAGGAGGAGGAGGAGGAGGAGGAGGAGGAGGAGGAGGAGGAGGAGGGCACCTCTCCCCCCTCTGCCTGCCTCCTGTGCATCCCCCCCCCCGTTCTCCAGACCCGCGGCCGGCACGATAGCGCTCTCCCGAGGCCGTGCCCAGGAGACCACCCGCCGCCCCTGCCCGCCACAGCCGCCGCCCCACGCCTTCCGCCGCCGCCGTCGCCCGCTGCGCCTGCGCCCCCCCAGCTGGAGCTGCCCGAGCTGGACGGCAAGACGCCGAAGATGTGCCCGCCCCCCGCGTGCGCGCGCCGCCCCCACGCGCGGCCCGCCCGCGGCGCCCGCGGGCTCGATCGATACCGCAGCCAGCTCGGCCCCAGGCCGCGGCCAAGGTCGAGCCCCCGCTCCCGATCCCGCACCCCGTCCATCACCTCGATCGAGCGCCGGGACCTGGCGCCGCAGCCCGGCCCGAGGCCAGGCGCTCGCACAGGGTACAAGACTCGTCAGCAATGCGGTGACGGTTACTGTTGTCGGTGCTTCTGTGGCGGGCACTGTTTCAATGCTGGCTGGCACGAGGTATTTGACCCAGACGCAGGGGTGTCCGAAATCCGGCAACATTCAGGGCGCGTGCCCGAGAGCTCGAGAAATTGACAGGCATGCAGGATACTTTGGGTTTCTTCGCCCGCCAGTTTGTCTGTTCCGCCCGCACAGCACACGCGCGCCCATCAGTCTGACAAGGCTGGCTGTGGGCGCACTCGGGGCACGCGACCGAGAGCCCACGAAACTGACAGGCATTCAGGGTACGTCGGGTTTCTTTGCCCTCCCCCCCTTGCGGGCGGGGTGGTGGCCTGGCGCGGTGGCCCTTTCTTGCGGGTGAGGGGGATCGGTATCGGCATCGGCATATGCATCGCCGCCCCAGGCATTATGTCAAACTGCTACAGTTGACACCACTTGATTGAGAAAAGTGCCACTATGTAATCGCCATTTCCTGCCCATGGTCCACCTATGCCCTGCCCATAGCCCACCACTGGCCCTCCCATGGCCGACCCATGGCCTGCCCATGGCCTGCCCATGGCTTGCCCATGTGCCGTTCATGGCCGCCGTATTGCCTGCCAATGGCCCACCCATGGCGTGCCCATAGCCCACCCATAGCTTCTCCATGGCCTACTCATAGCCGACCGATGGCCTGATCACAGTTCGCATTGAACTTACCCATGGCATGCCCGTGGCCTGCCCATGGCCCACCATGGTCCACCCATGGTTTACCCGTGGTTTCACCCTGGGCCCACCCATGGCTTATTGCACTTATGCGGCTGATACCAATAGTCGTAGCGCGCCCAGAAGCCCGACTGGCAGGTATTCGGGGTACCTTGGGTTTCTTCGGCCACCACTCTGGTTGTTTCTCCATTAATGGGTAAGCAGAAACGTGGTCATTGAAAGGATTACCAGGGCGAGCCCTAGGTTCAGATATGCATGCCACCAATGTCACCAGCGAGGCCGACGGGAGGGACGACGGCGACGAAGACGGTACCACGATGGTGGCGACGGCCAGGACTACGGCGCTTGCGCCAACGGCGACGCATGAGGAGGCAAAGGACGACGACGACGGGTAGTGGGAGGAGGTAGATGAAGAAGGCGGAGGAGGATGGAAGAAGCAGATGACGGGGGCGGAAGAAGATGAAGAGGAGGAAAAGGACGAGGGGGAGGAGGAGGAGGAGGAGGAGGAGGAGGAGGAGGAGGAGGAGGAGGAGGAAGAGGAGGAGGAAGGAGAGGAGAAGGAGGGAGGAGCGCGTGGAGAAGAGGAGGACGAGAAGGACGACGAGGAGGACGAGGAGGAGGAGGAGAAGGAGGAGGCGGGGAAGGGGCACAGGATGAGGCGGGGGATGGGGAGCGCACTCCTGGCAGCGCCCAGGACAAACGGTGCCCAAGGTCGGTTTGCGCGCCAGGACGCGTGCGGGACCGGCAAGTGTCTGAGCTGCGCTCTCCTTCTTAGGGGACAGGCTTGGGGGGGACAGGCTCAGAGACACGGCGTGAGTGGTGCACCAAGCTTCCGCGTCGTGCACCGCAAGGCACCCCATAAAAGATGCCGATGGTACAGAGCGTATCAGATAGTTGGCGTCGCCAACGGCACGGGCAGGGGATGTCGAAGCGTATGCCCGAGCGCGCCGCGCCCAGCGGAGCCCCCGAGGGGTGCGCAGAAGTGGGGGGGGCAGCCGCACGCCGGTCGCGGCGCTCAGCTGGACCTCGCAGGGAAGTCCTCCTCTTCTCCCCCCCCTCCTCCTCCTCCTCCTCCTCCTCCTCCTCCTCCTCCTCCTCCTCCTCCTCCTCCTCCTCCTCCTCCTCCTCCTCCTCCTCCTCCTCCCCCCCCTCCTCCTCCTCCCCCTCCTCCTGCTCCTCCGACCCTCGGGGCTGGCCTCCCGCGGTTGGCGGCGCCCGGGCAGGGCGTGCCGCCCGGTTTCCGTGCAGCGTGGGAGATGGACGCCGTCGGAGGAGACGCGGCGGGCGGGCGAACGAACAGCGAGCGCACTGTGCGCAGCGAGGGCCCAAACGAGGAGAACTGGGAAGCGCGCGTCGTAACGTTTTGGTTCGTTCCAGTGCTCTTCGCATTTCCAACGCAGGTGGGCCCGATCCGGTTCTAAGAATCTGGTTCGGAAAGACGTACGCCCAGGAGGCCCCAAAGATTGCGCAAACGAGCCAGACAGCGCCCTGAGACGGCCCAGGGTTGCCCCAGAACACCCCAAGACCGACCACGAGGGCCACGAACGGCACAAGAATGATCCGCAATCCCCAATGGGGCAGACAAAGGCGCGAAAGCTGAAATACCGCTAGAGTCCACGCGAAAGTCCACGTCGCCGGACTGAAAGCATTGGTGGGTTCTAGCTGCTTGCAAGTGGATCCAGCGCCCAGGAGGGCGGAATCTTACAATGCCGGAGGGGCTAATCCAAAGCATGAAAACATTTAGTTTGCAGTTTTTAACCAGGGGTCCAGTACCTAAGACGGCGGAAATTTGAAATGCCGGATGGGAACCTTACAATTCCGGAGAGATCAATATAAAGCATCGCAGAATTGAGTTAGCATTGTTTTTCACACAGGATCGAGCACTTCAAAGACCAGAACCGTAAAGCGCCAGACGGGAGCCTCAAAATGCCGGACGGGCCCATCCAAATCGGGACAATTTTGAATGTGTATTGGTTGTGACGAAGGATCCAGCACCCAAGAGGCTGGAATTTGAAGATGTTGGGCTGGAACCTCACAGTGCCAGACGGGTCTGTCCAAAACGCGAAAACACGGAATTCTCATTGAGAGTTGCATAGGACCCAGCAGACAAGAGGCCAGATCTTTTGAATGCCGTACGGTTCCGCCCATGAGGCGCCCTCGCTGTGGGAGTTGGAAGGAATATTTGGATCATCGCAGGTGTTTCCAAACATCGGGCTCGGCATTTCCCGAAATCAGGTTTCAGAAATGCTGGCTGGCGCGGCACAAAAATCCTGGAGAGGATCTTGTAGGCACAACCAGCGCCGCCAGCGCGACCGGTGCGACTAGCGCGACCCGCGCCGGTTGCAGATCTGTTTTTTCTCCTCGTTATGCCAACGGTGCTGCGCATCCTTCGTGAGATGCTGCAGCGTGCCGTTTCCGCACCACGTAAGGCCGTGATTCCCTCCCTTCTCTGCTCCTTTCGCTCCATTGACTTTCCTGGCCAAGTACAGTCTCTCGAGCACGCTGGCTGGGCCGCCATGATTTCGGTATAGGGCCGCCAGTCGTTCCAAAGTTTCCCAGGATAATTTGACCACGCTTGCCGATTCCGAGAACGATCGGGAGCGCGTGGTGGCCTGGAGGAGCCATCCCATTTGGAGGCAATCTCTTTCCCGGGGCATGGTTGACAACCACGCCCATCTGAAATCTCGATAAATTTCGCCACATTTCATGGACTCCAGATTTCGTTTAAGAATGAAGCATCTAGATTGGACCCTGAGCGTTTGCTTGGAGCCTCTGTTCTTCGTAGACTGCTCGTATATCTAGACCTGGACTACTGCTTAAGAAAGCAGGGCTGGACCTAAGCGCAGTTCTGCTGGACTTCGGCTGTGTTTTGTTTTTTTCTGTTTGGGAGGGAGGTACAGGAAAACAGGTAGAGCAAAACTAAACAAAACGAAAGCAAAGCGAAAAACAACGTTTAGGTCCAACCCTGTAAGAAAACGCTTGGAGTGAAGTCCATAGCGCAAAATTCCTTTGCATCTGCGCAGGGGCGCACACGAGCCTCACTGCATTGCCCGCTCCTCCGCTCCTTGGCACCGCTCGGACGCGTGCATGTTGTTCCTCGGCGAGGACCATGGAGTAGCATCTCGGATCATCTTGCGGCAAAAAAATTAACGGGCGAAGAACAGTGTAAAATAGTAGTTGTTCGCTGT